TTCGCCTTGGGGGTTTATAGCACCGGGACAATCCCCAGCCCCTTGTGAAGTGAAAACAGTTTAGCCAGAGACATTGCAATTGCAAAGACCGTTTGGTTTAGAAAGAGCTGAGGGAGGGTAGCTTTCCTGGTGATGAAGGAGAAATGGCAAGGGCGAGGTGCAAGGGAGAGATAAAGTACACATGAACTATCAGCTTCTTCCGGAGCTGTCCTGGGACAACAGCAGGACGATCAGCCGTCCCCCAGATAAACGCAAGATAGGCGTTTGCTTCACAGCCAGGAGCAACGTTTCCAGCCAGCGCCTCCATCCCAAGTCGACCAACAAGCATAATAAAGCTGCAGCCCCTGCGTGGAAGCAGCAGCAGGAGAAGACGGCACGGCCCAGTGTCCACAGGTGGCTTCAGCCATGCTCAGCGATACTCAGCACACCGAAGACCTCGTGTCGATCCCTTTACATGCACTATTAAGGGATCCGAAGGCTTGGTGCTGCTTAGATGTGAATTCCAGATGTTTAAAAAAACCAAAACCCCGGGCTTTCTGGGAACGGTTTTAAAATTAAAGGGAACATTGAGGGACTATGGGTGACAAATAGTTAATAGAAAATGCTTCCCTGCTCCCCGGTGAATTATTACAGGATTGTTCCATGTAACCGGTGCGATGTTTGCCAGTATAAAAGGGGCTGTGCTGTAATTACTGTCAAACTTCATACCCTTCCATGGAACAGTCCTGTAATAATTCACACAAACACCCCCCCACGAAATCACGTGTGTATAATTATAACACACACACTCACACACATAATCACATGTGTATAATTACAACACACACACTCTCACACACGTAATCACATGTGTATAATTACAACACACACACTCTCTCACACATGTAATCACGTGTATCATTACAGCACGGCCCCTTTTATACTGGCAAACTTCATACCCTTACATGAAACAGTCCTGTAATAATTCACACAAACACCCCCCCATGTAATCACATGTGTATAATTACAACACACACACACACTCACACACATGTAATCGCATGTGTATCATTACAGCACTGGCAAACTTCATACCCTTACATGGAACAATCCTGTAATAATTCACACAAACACTCCCCCACCCCCATGTAAGCACATGTGTATAATTATAATACCCCCCCCCAGTAATCACACGTGTGTGTGTGTGTGTTGTAATTATACATGTGATTACATGGGGGGGTGTTATAATTATACACATGTGCTTACATGGAGGGGGGTGTTTGTGTGAATTATTACAGGATTGTTTCATGTAAGGGTATGAAGTTTGCCAGTATAAAAGGGGCTGTGCTGTAATGGTATACATGTGATTGCATGTGTGTGTGTGTGTGTGTGTGTGTGTTATAATTATGCACATGTGATTGCATGCGTGTGTGTGTGTTATAATTATGCACATGTGATTGCATGTGTGTGTGTGTTATAATTATACACATGTGCTTACATGGAGGGGGGTGTTTGTGTGAATTATTACAGGACTGTTTCATGTAAGGGTATGAAGTTTGCCAGTATAAAAGGGGCCGTGCTGGAATTATACACATGCGATTACATTGTGCATGTGTGTGTGTGGGTGTCACAGACCCTACTCCCCCTATCCCTACCCCAGGACTCAATGAAATCAGGATACGGAGCTCGGTGCTGGAAGCAGCATAGCCTCATTAGTGCAGCGCTCCCCTGGCAGCGAGTAACTAGGCCTGCTGAGACTCTGGACCTACCCTGGACAGAGCATCACATTAACAGAGCTATGCGCTGTTAAGCTCCTCCACTAGCTCAGGTATCTCTCTGAGGCCCTGCATTAGGCTGCTTAGACCTACTTAGCCAGAACTCGCACCCCCATGCCAGGTTCAAGTTTCCCTTTCCCAGCAGGTCTCAGCAGCATCAAGAGCACAAAACCGCAGCTTCACCTGTGCCCGTGCAGAGATGCAGCTCCAGCGTCCACATGTGCAGGACCAGAACCCGTTCCCCTTAAAAAAAAACTGCCGCTCCCGGCTAGAGTTGAGAAACCCCTAGCATGCCTCAAGGGGAGAATGCACCAGGATCTGGGGAGGGTTATCTGCACCAGCTGAGGTTTTCTGTAGCACCAGTCCCTCTCCTGCTATAAGCCTCATGACTCTTATCCTAAGGCCGGGGCTCCTTCCACATGCGTGAGTCCAATTAGCGGTGAGTGTGGAAGTGCTGCAGGTTTGCACCTGATGCAAAGGGTTGGAGAGCTCATGGAAGCAAAGAGCACTTCTGTTAAAGGGGCTTCGTGTGCAGTGCTTGCTCCTGAGGGCTGCAGACTACCTCACTCACCCACTCACAACCCTCCACTAGGTGCAGGACTGCCGATCAGGCCCTTGGCTAGTCTTATGGCATCCTCCGTCAGAGCCTTGGTGGGGAGTGAGCCTGGAGCTGGAAGCATTCAGGGGAAAATCCACCCCTCTGCAGAGAATATAGTAGGGCTTATATCATGCATGTCACCCTGATATCCTGGGCTCTCTCGTGAGACACAGGGGCAGCTCAGTTCAGTGGTCACAGGGTCTAGTTCATAGAGCAGCTGCAAGAAGATGCCATGGTCTAGCTAGCCATCATCTGGCACTCGGTCCATGATGAGCTCTTCTAACCCAAAAGAGTTCAAATCCCACCACTGCCAGCAGGGGAGATTTAGGTTGGTTATGAGGAAGAATATTTGAGATTTGTGGGTGACTGAGCATTGGAAGAGATTCCCTAGAGGGGTGGTGGCAACTGTTGCTGGTTGTGCATGACAGGATGAATATTTGGCCAGGGTGGTTCAGGAGGCTGGAGTGTCGTGGCTGTGATGAGGCAGGGAATATGCAAGAAGAAGCAGGGTCTGTTTGGTGATACCAACTTTTGGCTGTTGCATGCTTCTTCCCCAGACCCAAGCAAGGGCACTTTTGCACCCAAAAGCTCATCTAACATCTTGCCCAGCTATACAGTTGGTCCAACACACCTTGCTTCCAGGATGGTTCAGACGGGGACAATCCTACCTTGAGCAGGCGGTTGGACTAGATGAGGTTGCAGCCCTCTGTTTCTAGGCATCTATGAATCAGAGATTTTTTTAAGAAGGAGACCTGAAGCTGATTTGTAAAACTTTATTTAGAAATATTCTTGATATAGTCATTATATATATATATTTATATTTATATTTATATTCGTATGTACACACACATTACAACAAATGTGTTTTCTAAATAGCACATCCACAGTGGGTTGCCTAATCGGCTTTACAAAGATAATAAGGGTACCAGGTCTGGTTACTTAACTTCTGCAGAAAAGTGCAGAAACCACAGGAAGGGGCCGGAAAAGAAAAAAACCCAAAGAGAATTCAATCACACGGTACGACATTGACTGAAAGTGCTGCTTCCAAACATAGCCAGGGCGATGTTATATCTACCGAGACAAGGAGCAGGCAGGAGAGGAGATGGAGAAGTAGATGTACCATTCAAATCACAATTAAAATACCACTATACATACCCCAGATAGATTTAAGCTTTATTCTGCTAAGAGGCTACAAAGATTGTGTGTGTGTGTATGTGTGTGTGTGTGTGTGTGTGCATGTTGAAAGGTTGTACCATCTCTTCAGCTACATATAAAGAAGTCCGGGGAGAAGGAGATTTTCCAACATGTTAAATTATTTTTCTTGGAAGAGATAATGGGAAAAGAGGTAAAAGAGTCTTTATTATTTAAAAACCTTAAAAGGTTGATAAAACTGCATCTTGGCCACAGGCTTCCTACCCCCTCCACATCTCCCCCATCGCTGGAAGCCCACCATCATCCCCGCCCCCAAATGTCTCAGTCCCGGTGAAGTCCATGACACCCCTCCTGTTGACTCCCAGAGAATATGAGAAGGTGAAATCCCCCCCCCGGCCTAATGGATCACGTCAGCCAGTCCCACTTTATGAGCTGTCTGCAGACTTAAGTGGTGCATGTGCAAAGTGGGTTAAGTCCATTGCAAATAAGCAATTTAAGCTTCATAAAGACGCCAGCCCCCTGTGACTTCAAGGTCTCCCCTAGGAGCATTGGCTGGATTGCAATAACCCTAAAAATACCAGCGGGTCACACTTCAGGGGAAATACATTCTCATAAATAGACACACACAACTGGGAAGAAAGCTGGCCCCACACATTGATTCCCCAAATAGTATTAACTCACTTCATTAAGCTGGCATTAAAAAGGAAAAGGAGAAGAGGAGATAACTGTACCCCAGAATAAGAATAGGGTTGACCGTACTCTCAACTAAGTCAACTTTCAGGTCTCAATGTTCACCCACTGAAGCATCTTCACTTCCCTGTACCTCACACCCTGTCATGAGTAAGAGGACAGGTTGTGCACTGTGTCCTCGCACTATTTATTTCCCCTTCAAACAAGGAGGCTTGCTATGAAAGAGTTGGGGATTGGAGGCAGAGGATGGGATGGTGTCACTGCTCTAGCATTCAATAGCAATTAGTGGGGGGTCCATTTAAATTGTGCAGTCCATGGGTTGAGTTCATGGGCTAGCTACTTCACCTATGCCGAACATCATAGCGCATGGAGTCACTGGAACAATACCAGTTCATGGGAGTTGAGAAACTGGCCCATGGCTTTAAATTGTTGTGCTTGTTCAAAGTGTTTAATAGAGAGCTGCAATTGGAGGTTTCATTCCTGTTCTCAGTGCATCTGGTGTACGTTGCCATCAGCTTAAAAAGGGACCAAATTCATGGGAACTACTACATGCATTTCTATGAGCCTTGGGGCTTGATGCTTTGCTAGAGAGAACGTCAAGACCACCCCAGCCGACAGCCAACGTCAAGACCACCCCAGCCGACAGCCAACGTCAAGACCACCCCAGCCTGCAGTCTTTGGGCAAACAAGATTCCCAGTGACTGGAAGCAAAGAGGCAGACTCAAACTATGAGGCTATTGAACAAAACTGGTATAGGCAAAATAGCCATCATGTTCTTACAATGAAACCAAACCATTGAAAGTCCATAATTAAAACCTTTTTATCTCTTTCATAGACATACACACACAATGTTATTCCACCATTTTCTTTTTCTTTTTAAACGAAGGGGGGAAAAAACAACCAGGTCGACAATTCCAAAGGGGGAAAAAAAAATCACTGGCAAATGTTTGCTTGCCCTTAATGAAACGTTTAATCATTGAATCAAGTCCTGTCCCTATAGAAGCCAATCGGAATCATCTCATTGGCTTCAGCAGGGCTGGGATTTAAGCTCTTTTGTATAATGGGTACAGTTGTGTCAAGGAGAAGAGAAGAAAACATCAATGTACCTTTTTGTTCAGCAGATACGGCATGACGGTATTAAACAGAAGTAATTCCACATCATAAATACAACACCTCAAACAATCCAAAGTTCAATTAGATTTTGTTTTTTTAAAAAAAGTCTCAGTCCTTGCAATAGTTGATTTTTTTTTGCAGAGGAATTTTATCACCTCTCTAGAAAGGTACAGTCAAAAGCTCTCAGACAACAAAAACGTATTGCCATAGTCTCCATCCAGACAAGTTGCATATACTTCGTGAAGGGCCAGAGACATGCTAAAAATACTGCGAAGGGATTTGCAGTGGTTGTTGCTGCCACGTGTAGTTGGAGAGGATTTGTGGCTTAGCCTGGCAGTGAATGAAGGGGCCATGTTTCATGTTGCAGGTGCACTCTGGTTTAAGAGAGGTTATCATCAATTAATTTTTTTGGTGGGGGGAACCCTTCTGAATGCTAAAGAGGTGACAGCCAGGTTTTTCTCCTTGCCTGTGTTAAATCATGAGCAATACGTACACTAAGACGATGTCAGAGCTTTTCTTCAGTGTCTGATCAAGTACCTAAATATTGAACGTCCGCTTGACTCGGTCGTGTTCTCTAACAACTCGCTCTCCGTCCAGTTCCAGGACTGCGAGAACTGAAGGAACCAAAGTCCCTCCTTTCTTCTGGGAGATGCGAAGCAAGAAATTGTAAGAGTCCAGATCCAATCGCTTTCCCCTCTCGGTTCGACGAGCAACTGGGAAGTTCATCATCGCTGCGCGTTGCCTTCTACGGGGAGGATGGAGTGATGGAGGTTCCTCGTATGCTTGGTTTCTAACGCTTCGTGCTCTTCTGTGAAGCTGTCTGGGCTTCCTGCGCCATCCAAAGAGCTTCCGCAGCTAGAGTTTGGAGACAACATGTCCTGCAGGAGGTCTTCTTGGACTATCCCAGTGTCTTTGTTCACTTTGCCCCTTTGGTTTCCTTCTTCCTCCTGGTCGTTGAGCAGTTTGGCCAGGAAGTTGATGTATTTCATAGCCAGACGTAAGATTTCATTCTTGCTCAGCTTCTTGTCCGGCGGGTGCGTTGGGATGAGCTTGCGAAGTTCTGCAAAGGCACCGTTGACGTTCTGCTGTCTCCACCTCTCCCGGCTATTGGTAAAAATGCGGCGAACCACTTTTGTATGGGGACCTACAATTACAAAGGAGCAGGGTTAGGAGCAGCATTCAGCAAGCTAATTATTTCACTCAAAGGGCCATCTTTCCCAGCTTGGCTGACTTATTTTAGGCACCTAATGATACATTTATATAGAAGTAGTTTTCATTTGAAAAGATACGGAGACACCTACAACCTCCATTCAAGCCAATGGGAGCTAACGAGCAGGCTGTTTTTTTATTACGTAAGGATTTAGATACCTAACTTGAGCCATGTATCCAAGCATAGCTCATGTAATAATTAGCAGCCTGTACGCTGTTAGGATAACCCACAAATAAAGGGCTAATAGAAAAATTTGTGTCTCTTGTATTTTATACATCACTAACACTATCTCTTAAGGATGGCAAGAGAAAGCAGGAAGGAGCAAAAGACACTAGTTCAAGGGTCAGGAAGAGATGGAGAGACTTTCCCATCTAGGTCATTTACTTGATAAGAATTTACAGTGAGCAAGGATCATAAAAGTTGTGGACTCTCTATTCAATGGCCATGGTGAAATGAGTTGGTATGACTCACACTAGTTCCTTGGGGATAAAGGGTGGCATTAAATGCGTGCGCGCACACACACATGCACACACACACACATGCACACACACTACTGCCTTGGAGAAAGTCTGAGCAGAGCCCAAAAATGCAATGATCTCCCTACTGGGTCTAAAAGCTGCCCCTTCAGGGGGACATTGTAGTAGAGGAACACTAAAGACCCTTACCATCAAGTTGACCAAAGTTACCAGGTCCTGCATATACATAGGAGGCTGCAATATCCATGGCCATCAATGCAGCTCTGTTTCGATGCCCATTTGTAAAGGTGCACTAGAAACTACAGGTGTTGACTTAACCTGGCAATCGATGAACTCCAATTAAAGTCACCAGAATAGTAAACGTGGCAAGCTTTGGAAAAGAACATGCTAACATAGGAGAGATATTGGTTGGCCAAACGAAAGGTAATGAAAGGCCAAATGGTTGTAGGTAGCACTGAGCATGATTCGTTTTCCTTTTGGTATGTGATGGTATCTCCTGTGAATATGAGTGGAGGATGGTATGTGTGGAGGGGAAAATGCAAGCCAAGTGCACGATACCCATGTTTCTGAGAGTGATCTCAGCAGCCCGGTCCCCCGGACCAAGGGAAGCATGTCATTCGGTAGAGCTGGGCATTCACTTGGACTACTGGAGAGTGCAATATGTCTGTAAGGAGTAGTACTTTTATATGACTATTATCAGATACTTTTCGTCTAACATCCACACTAGAGCACTTAGACATTGCTCCTAGAGAGACTCAAGCAACTTTGGTAGACAAGGTTCTTCAGGTAAATAGGATATCTTTGATTAGACCAACAGGATATCCAATAGGATATCTTAGATTAGTTGGAAAAATTGTTCTTTGCAAGCTTTTGGGTACAAACACCCTTCTTCAGGCACGGGGAGTATCTGCTGTTGCTTTGTGCGCTCTCCTGGGTGAGAGACAACAGATGCTCCCTGGTCTAATAAAAAATATCACATTTATCCAAAGAACCTTGTCTGCCTATGCCCTTAGACCAACACGGCTACAACCAACAACCCTCAAGCAACCTTGTGAATCTGTGGGAAGGGCAGTGATCACAGAAACCACAGGGACAGATGAGACACAGTGTAACACCATGCCTGTATACAACTTAGGGGCATGGCATTGAAGGACAAGTTGCACGACCCTCTTGAGTGTCCTTAGATGCTGAAAATTTTGTCTAATTATTCTATCCTGGTGAAAAGAAGTCACGGACCCATGCACATGTGATTCGTCAGCTGTTTTGACTGCCAAGTAGTCCAGCTCTCAGCACTTGCACCTGCATCCAGTGACAGTTGCCTGCCTGCAGCCCCGTGAGCATCCTGTTTGGGATGTCAGGCTATACCTGGAGCAACTGGGTCCTAACCCGCAGGATGATCATTGTGCAACGGGAGCTGCCTATGGATGAATGCCCAGCCCTAGCGTAGAGTAGACAAGAAAAGAAACCCCAAACTCTAGCAAAGGAAATGCTGGCTGCATTTTTTCCCCCTTCTTTTGAGGAAAATGCTGAGACCTGATATTTAGCATGAAAATTTCATGCTAATGGCCCGGTGGCTAGACATGCTTGGAAGTAAAAGAAGCGCTGCAGCAAGTTAAAGCTACTGACCTCCCCAGACCAAAGTGGCTGCATGGAAAGAAGCAGGGTGTTCTGTAATGTTTTCCAGCAGCAGCATAGCTCAAATGCATCGTCCAGGCTTCCCATCCCTCCCCTCCATGGAAAAAAAAACAACATTCAAAATAACAACAGCATAAAGCAGCAGAAAATGGGACTAATTGAGATGAACCAAGGCCCGCCCTAGCCTCCCTCCCCACCCTGCAATTGCAGGCCATTGATCGTGTGGGATACGCCCACCTGATCCTAACAGATGATCCCTGCTCAATGCTCCAGAGGAAAGCCAAGGAGTCTGCCAAGGCGCCGTGGGGGGACAATGTCCTTCCCGACCCCAAATCTGGAGATCAGTTCAACCCTGTGCATGAGAGCAAGAATCACCAAAGTTAAATGACAACAGAAGGCTGCAACTTTCCCTTCCTTCTCCTTAGGGGAGCTAGTGGGTTCAGCCCTTATCTGAACACTTCACAAGCCTTAATGTGAACCTAGCTGGATATCCCTGGGAGGGAAGCAGTATTAGCAGCCCTATTTCACGGGGGGCTACATGACATGACCAAGGTCACGTGGGAAGCCTGTGGCAGAGCAGGGAGTTGGACCAGAATCCCAGTCTAGTGGCTCTACCAGAAAGACTTCCTTGTGCTCCTAAAAATCATGACCACTGAGCACAGAAATGTCTCTCTTCAGAGCTTACAAGCTACTTAAGGACAGGCAGGGTTCCTTGCTTTGGGTTTTGGCACCACCCAGAGAACGGGGCCTCGATCCTTGTGGGGCTCTACCGTGACTCACCTACTAGTCATGCTATTTGCATCATAGGAAAGGTTTCTGGTACAAATCCTAATTCCAAGTCCCAGATACTCCTCTGAGCTGAATAGCACCAGGAAAGCAGATTCTTTCCCCAAGTGGGAGTTTGTTTCATTTCCCAACATTTCTACTTTTGAATAGGGAAAATCTTAGACATCGCTGGCTTAAAAACAGAAAAGCAGAGGACCAGTCTTGCAGTCCCTGCATGCCCAGAATACCCATGGAGTTCACACAGGATCTGATGCCTGCCAGGAATTTAGCTACAGCTTATAAACTCAGAAGGGAATGCGCTGATCATCTCATCTCACATCTGGCCTCCGGCGAAACACCGGTCTTGGACTGTCACCCGCTGATTCCTACATTGATCGCAATAATTGCACTCTAATGTATTTTTAAGAAATAGAACCAGGCTGGAGATAAAGATTTCACATGATGGAAAATGCAGAATATCTGCTGGTAACATTGGACACAATGCACTGGGTTTTTTTTTAATGAAATTTGTCCATTTTGGGGATTTCTTACCAGCCAAACAAGCTGGTTTGTTTGGGGGGCTTTTTCCTTCTCCCCCCACCTCCCCTTGCGTTAGTGTGCTAGCTTCTCAAATATAAATCAAGCGCCACCGCTGAACTGACTCCTTGCCCCGTGCTTTTCATATCATGAGCGGTTATTTTTTCAAACACGTTGCAGAAGGATTCTGTGCACCTTTGTTTTTTGGTTGACGTTGTCTTACAGCCCAATAAAAATTGTTCAAAACGTCAACCCAAAAAAATGGGTCGCCACAACAAGAAACGTTTCAAAGTATTTTCCACGGGTCACTTTTCGGACCAGCTGAGCTCGAGGTAAACTGAAAAAGATTTGTTCTTGCTTTAGAAACAGGGTTTCAAACATCCTTCCTCCCTGATCTGTAATGAAGGTCCTGCAAGGTGGAAATGAAGGTTGCGGGACCCACTGAGCCAAGAAGCGGAGACACACAGGCATGAAGAGCCAGCATGAGCAGTGGCCAGCGCGTGTCAGGCGCTGTTGAGAAGCTGGCTGAGACTGATACTGTTTTCTCAGAAACCGGTGACGCATTTCTGGCCTTTTGGTTATCAGTTTCTTCTAAGTGCAGGCGTCAGACGTGCTCGAATAAGCTACTGTGCTCGGTAAGCGGTTGGGGTGCAGGGACAGAGTATAAGGCATCTTCCTATGGCTCTGGAGGGGCACGCTGAGCCAGCTATAAATGGGTACCTGGTCATGTGTGCTGGAAAGTCAAAGGTGGCCTGAGACACGCATGAGACACGCATCCCTTGACCCTGATAGTCCAAGGAGCTGCCAGACTGGGAGCAGCTTGGACACCGTTGGCGGAGGGCACGAGTGCAAGGCTGCACCGAGGGCACAAAGCTGACTATTTCTTCATCCCATTGCTGCCCCATCCCACCCTAATCCCCAGTCCTCACTGGGGTTTGCTCACCACTCTGATCTGGTTCTGTGGACACCAGAGATCCCCTCTCTTACCCTACAAAAAAAGGACGGCACCAAGACCCTGGCCTCAAGCACACTCCTCTCTGCAATTTCTGAGCACTTGCACTCTCTATGTGTGGGGACGGAGCACATTGAAGACAACGGAGATCTTTCCATTGGAGCTGGGCTCACACCCTCAGCCCCCCGAGTGACAGTTCATCCTGCCTACTATGTGCCACCTATGTGGATCCTAGCTGTTAGCCACCTGCCAAGCTATCACATTGGTATTATCCATTTACCAAAGCACTGCATAATGAACAGATGTCTAATTGGAAGGAGCTGTCCACGCTTTGTCCCCAAAGAGCGATCCTAGTTTAATGGCCCTGGTTTTCCCCCACACGCCCCCTCCTGCAAATCTTAGCAGGTAGGGAATAGTTCTGGACTGATGGACCAGCAGCTCTTTCCTGGGTGAGATGTGATTAATCATATCCCTATTTGTTGTCCCTATTATATTGTATATGGTTGCTGCTGATGGGAATAGAAGCTGCATGCTGATATCTCAGGGCACAATTTTTCCCCGTTCATTTACCTGACCTGCTAAATGCAAGCATGACCCAAAACCCCAGGCAGTCTTTCCACTGACATCCATGGGCTTTGGGTCTGGCCTTGTGGGTCAAATCCAGCAAAGTCACGAACATCACGTTATTCACAGACACAAATGCTCGCAGGGTCCAGGTTTCAGTCTCCTCCTGCAAATACATCCTCTAAATTATCCTAATTATATGCCCAAACCTGGGCCTAGCACACAGACCCGGGGTATGATCTGGTAAACACATATGCAAATTCCTTTCCAACATGGCCTACGTGTGTACTGTCTACCTAGGGCATGGTGGTATTTAGCAGGTATATGTAAACCTTAACTCATTTAAGAAACAAGGAAACATAGACATTGGGTGAAAAGCCTGGCTGGACACTAGGACATTTAACCCACATTGCTATTTTTGAATTTTTCAGCCTGGGCAATTATTATGTATATTATTGTAGTACCTGGAGACCCCAGCTGACATGCAGACACCCGCTGTGCTAGGTGCTGTACATACACATGGAGCAGACAGTCCCTGCCCCATGCAGTTTACAAATCTAAGCAGACAAGACAGACAAAGGATGGAAGAAAAGTGGAGAACCTATGTTCCAAGAAATGTTCTCAAGCGTTCTGTTAGCCCCTCAATGTTGCTGTTAAATTGGGATTTTATTTGGCTTTATAGTGAGATTATGAAGGGGAAGAGAGCTGGGTATTAGCAGAAAGGCAAGTCTCAATGTTCTGGCTTTTGTGGATGTAAACGGTTGCCTGCTGGGCTAGGGACAGAAGTTACACATAAACCGGTATAAGTGATGGGAAGCCGGTTCAGATCTGTAACACAACAGAAGTTCAGCGCACATAAACCGCTTTCAAATGGCTGAAACCGGTTTAAGATAAACCTGGATGTGGATGTAGTATCAGACAGAACTGGTTTAAATTAGATCGGTTTATTGAACTTCTGTCCCAGGTTCCCTCCAGATTCAAGTGAACTCACAGTCTGCCAGCATCCCAGGATGCTTTGCACCTCCCCCGCAAGCCCCACCCTCACAGGGTGGGTGGGCTAGCCTTGGCCCAAGCTGTCAGCTCCAGCAGAGCAGGGAGGCATGCTCTAGCGCCCTCCGGCTTCTGGCCTGGGCCACTGCAGGCACGTGGCTGCATTTTTGGACTCTAAAGTGAATGTCTGTTCACTTGCTTATCGCTTCAGTCTGTTGAACCAATGGAGATTAACTCAGTCCAGCCTTTGGCTTTTTGACTGTCTGTATTTAGCTGGAGGCTAGTAAGAACCACAGTGTCATGGTCCCAATTTTATCATGCAAATTTAAGCACATTCTTTTAAGTCCCTACGGCTATAATAAGACTTAAGTGCTCAAGAGCAGGGATGGATTTCAACACGTGCCTCAGTGAGTTGCTGAATGAGGGCAATGCTACTCAGCCATTAACTTGCTCCATTATGCAGGAGTCCTGGCCAGGACTGGGGTAAGCAATCAGGTGGCTGGACCGATAACATTATCTTACCGTCCCATTTGCTGCCCTGTGGGGTAGCCCAACACGTGTTCCTTTAAACAATGTGTCTCCATCAACCCACAGCACAACCCGTGGAGAGTCAGCTATAGGTCTCTGTGCCTCAAACACCCCACAGCAGGAAGAGGAAAAGGTACTTACCCTCTGAGATATCCATTTCATAAGGAGAAGGTCTTCTCTTCACTCTGGTGCTGGTGTACATGGAGAAGCTATCTGGATCACCAAAAAACCCGCTGCAAAGAAGAGGCAAGCAGAAGGTCAGAAAACACACGTCCTGAATGAAGACGGCTGCCCAAGAACTAGGGGTCTTCGAAGTGGGCTCCAAGATTCCCAAGATTCACCGTTGGCACAAATACAACGGCCGCTCGGAGAACTATTCAAATACAATGGGCAAGAACCTGGGCGGCTATAAACAATGTAACTCCATTGAACTCAACAGGACTTAAGCTATGTCTCTGTATAGCAACTGAGGGTATATGCAGGGAGTGTGCATATGTAACTACATCTACACATTGCACACATGTCTGTATATACATACATGCTCACACACACCCCCCACCCACACATGCACAGAGACACCCTCTAATACACAACTGCCTTAAGTGACTTGGATGATTATTTGCAGCGGTCCCTGCTAATAAAGCTGGTAGCTTGCCAATACCATTCAGTGTGCTTTTAAGCAAGTCATTAAAGATAGCAGATTAATTAATAAAGGTGCTTTCTTGCACATGCTATCTACATGCCATAACACACATAGGCTGAATTACTGCTTATAATACATATATTAATATAGGATTAATGCATTATATTAATATAATATATCAGTAATATAATATATATATCTATTATAAGCAGTAATTCAGCCAATGTGTTATAGCATGTAGATAGCATGTGCAAGAAAGCACCTTTCTTAACTAGTCTGCCATCCATCTATCTATTATAATCAGCAACTCATCCTATGTGTATTATATATAAGCAGTATATAAATAAATATATATGTATACATATGCAGTATATAAAAGTAGGAGAGTATGTGTGTATATATATATATTGAATCCTATTTCTGAGAGGAACTACAAGATATAACAGCATCAGCCAATGCATGTATCTTTATTTACACCCACTGCCTGCAGCATATACTCTGAAGCACTTTCTTCTCATGGTTATGATTCTTGATCCGGTTAAAAATCTCACACCCTACCTGGAGCTAAGAGATTTCTTCAAGGGAAAAAATACTGAGTGCTACATCCATTGTGTATTTGCTGCATTTACACCTCTGCATTTAAAATTCCAGCATGAATGGTCTGAATATAGATCATTCCTGGGGAAAGGGAATGGTTTGAAATCCAAAGGGCTATCCAGATGCATATATTTGAAAATGCACCCATATACATCACCGCACATCCCTCTCTATTTACACACACACATCCCTTTGCCTGTTATATGTATTCAGATCATAATAATCACACAGATGTGAAACCCTTTAGCCACCTCAAGACCCACTAGACTTTTCAATCACCTCCAGACCCATCTGGACCCTGAAATCACCTCAAGAGACATCCGGACCCTGAAGTCACCTGATGAGCATCTGGACGTTTCAGTCGCCTCCAGACTCATTTGGCTCCTGGCATCACGACACGCGATATCTGGACCCCTAAGTCACCTCCAGACCTATCTAAACCCTGAAGTCACCTCCAGACTCACCTGGACCCTGCAATCACCACAAGAGACATCTGGACCGCTAAGTCACCTCCAGACTTATCTAAACCCTGAAGTCACCTCCAGACCCATTTGCACCCTGAAATCACCTCAAAAGACATCTGGACCCTGAAGTCCCCTCCAGACCCACCTGAACCCTAAAATCACCGCAAGAGGCATCTGGACCCTGAAGTCTCCTCCAGACCCACCTGGACCCTGAAATCACCACATAAGACATCTGGACCTATCTGAACCCTGAAGTCACTTCCAGACCCCTTTGCACCCTGAAATCACCTCCAGAGACATCTGAACCCTGACGTCCCTTCCAGACCCACCTGAACCCTAAAATGACTGCAAGAGACATCTGGACCCATCTGGAGTCCCCTCCAGACCCATCTGGCCCCTGAAGGGACCTTGAGAGCCTGGTGCAGACCGTCCTGCAATCGAGAGGCTGCTCTGGAAGATGCCCCCGACAGCAGGCGCGGGTTGGAGGCAGCTGCACGCAGCCCCGCGGCTCGGCCGGTGGGCCGGGGACGGGCAGCCCGGGGGCGCGGCGGGGCACGGACCTGTTGATGGTGGCCAGCGGCTGGCCGAGGCTGTAGAGCATGGCTCTGC